TGTTGCTTTTTTCCAGAATGTTAGCACACAAAGTCCTGGATCAACAACACTACTTATATAGTCATCTATTTCAATATCCATTCTTGACCTGTCCTATTTAATTTTTTTTTTTTTAATTATTAGTGTCCAAAAATTCAGAAAAGTCGTGTTGACTATTGGGTGCTTCGTTTTCTGATTCAAGTGTTAAATCGTTATTTAAGCTATCATTTATTTCAGCTAGGATCGATTTTAGAGGGAGGGAATCAAAAAAATAAAACAAACTCGTATAGAATACACACATAAGGCATCTTTGTGCAAAATTGTGTGTCTCTATCTCTATATAGTCTCTGAGATCCAGGTGTTCATACGGACGGACAGATGGACAGTCGGACAGGCGGACAGAGAGACAGACAGGGCTAGATCGACTCGTCCATAGTTTATAGTTTCATTTTGATTTTGTTTGTGTATATAACTTTCTTCAGAATTGACCTATCATGATGAAACTTGGCATACGGACAGATAACCAAAAACTGGACGTAAATTCCAAATTTGAGTTTAAAATTAAAAATTCCAAGAATTACGGGAGCTATGAAAATCACAGGCTTGCAATTACAATAAAGAAAAACTTCACCTGACTAGGACTCAGGGGAACCTGGATACCAAGTTTGGTCATTCTAGCTCTTGTACCTTCTAAAATCCTTGCGCTCATACAGGCGGACAGACAGACAGACGGACATGGCTATATCGACTCGGCTTGTCATCCTGATCAATAATATATACAAGTATACTTTGTGGGGTCTGCCACGACTCCTTTTGGGTGTTACATGTACACTCGCAAAAAACTAATATACCCTTTTACCCTTTGGGTACAGGGTATAAAAACATCGTCGTATATATGTACTACAAGTATATGTAGTATTTGTGACGAGCAAGTCTGCAAGTGAAGTTACAAAATTCGGCAGGTCACATTTTGCCTGAATTGGCTTTTCATCGATTGAAACGTTGAACAAATTGTTTTTTATTACATCGCTTACCGGCTGATGAGTTGGTGCTTCATATGCAACTGTGTCCTGCTACTTACCTGCAAAAACAGAAAGGTGGATGTTTAAAAAAGGGAAATCATATTAAGATTAAAAATTGATCAGTAAAAATATGGCCCGTTAAATGGTATGAATTAGTTATTATTAAACAGCTTTAAAGGCAAAAATAATTTCATATGAGTCATGAGAACGTGCGGCGCAATGCCCCGATGAAGGCACATGGCTCAGAATTATAATAGGACTTTGTAATTTAGCAGTGAAGTGAAGATGTGTTTCGAGGAGGCATTTGGGACTTTTGCACTCCGCAGATTAATTTGCTGATTTGTAAATTATGAAAACTAATAAAACAAAGTAACTTAACACGCAATCGACTCCAACAGGTCCTTAATACGAATTCTTATTACTGGTCAGCTCATTAAATATTTCTAATGCTTTGTCTACATGCAATTATAACTTTCATATTATCTGAAATTGTAACTTAAATAAAGACAGGCGAACGGACTGACATATGTACTATATATATGTATGTTCTATCATAATACCCTTATCCATACTCTTTTTGATGAGATCATCTTTATACCAAGAACTATAACATAAGTTCTACTTGTTTCTTTCTTCAACAGAAAATGGAGGTGCCAGCGGAACTACATTTTTTGCTGACCTGCAGAGGTTGCAACCTGTTCTACGATCACATAACTATAATTCCTAAGCTCCTTCGCTGTCAGCACTGTTACTGCGTGCGGTGTCTCGATAACCAATTGCCACGTGTGGATGGTCAAATCATTTGCAGGCTTTGTAACATCCGCACAGAGGTACCCGGACACAGAACCGGTATCGCAACCGGCGCAACTCTGCTACAGAATCATGGTCCGCTGTTGTTCTTGATTGATAAGCTGCCAGCGCTAAAGCTAGGACTGTCTCTAATGGCTCTCCAGAGCAGTAGCCAACAGGAGCCGCCAAATCGGGACCCGGTCGATTTTAACAGTCGCGACTTGTCAGTGGCAGAAATGCTCCTTTGTCGCCAGCATGATAGGGCCAAAACCATTTGGTGTTTCACTTGCAAGTATCTGCTGTGCCCTGTCTGCCTTATAGCCTCGGCGCATAGGCTCCATAGCTGTTCCCACAGTCTCGATTTGACAGATGCAGTGCGCACTCTTTTGGCTAAAAAATTGACGGATATTGAGTCGATAGCCCTGCACACTGCTGAGCTGGCGCATTATGATAAAGCTATGCTTCGAGAGGTGCATGAGGCTTGCAACGACGTGCGCATATACGTCAATCGACAGTTGCTCCACAATGATTTGACAAATACGGCTATGGAAATGCACAATTGGTTGCAAAATACTGGACAGCTTATTCGAAGGAATTCTGAACAGCTAGACCTGCAAGAACTGTTACGGTTGACTTTCGTAGTAACCGTCTATCGCCGACAATGTCGTAATCTGAACTTTGATTTTTTACGTAAATCTCGCTTGCGAGCTTGTATCTACGAAAGCGGAATGGAGGTGGTTAGGTTCGAACAGCTTCAGCGACGTTTGGATGATATACTGGATGGCAATACAAACGCGCCTTTTGTCCCATTTACAATGCAGCATACATCACCTATATTGTTGTTAACCAATTATTTCGTTTTCGAGTTTTGGTGGCAATCGCAACAGCGCATAATAATAGCGCATAATTCCCAGGGACATGATCTATCCTTGACCGAAGCCACAGATCACTAATCTGGTTCCGCGAATAATACAAGTACAGATGTTACGTTATGTTGCAGTTACAGTCCTGCACGTCAACCAAATGCTATCTAACTATCCTATATATTTTTTGGAGACGGAAATCGATGGACTATACGGAGGTCGAATACTTATCAAGGTGTGCAATGATGTGGCACCTCGCATGGCGGAGAATTTTCGGGCTCTAATGTCGCACGAGTTTGGTGTTGGCTACAAAGGTTGCTGCTTCTTTAAAACCTGGCCCACAGAGAGTGTCATCACTGGTGACATTGCGACTAATTCCGGACGTCGAGGCCACGCCGTCTCTGAAGAACGGTTCTTTATACCCGAAGACACGCGCATTCCGGCAGTGCGAGGTGCTGTAGGCATGCGACGAAGTCAAAAACGTAACAACAACGGTGTTGTTGGCTCACAATTCCGCCTAATGCTCAACAATATTAGTTCTTATACAGCCATATTCGGATTCATTGTAGAGGGTATTGATGTGGTTGAAAAAATAGCGGCTACGGGCGACCAACTAGGCAAGCCTCGTGTGCACAGCTTCATCAGTAACTGTGGCGTGTATGTAAGGGAGTAAGCCTGAGTAAACCTGAATATGCCTTATTTGCATATTCAGGTTTACTCAGGCTTACTCCCTTACATACACGCCACAGTTACTGATGAAGCTGTGCACACGAGGCTTGCCTAGTTGGTCGCCCGTAGCCGCTATTTTTTCAACCACATCAATACCCTCCACAATGAATCCGAATATGGCTGTATAAGAACTAATATTGTTGAGCATTAGGCGGAATTGTGAGCCAACAACACCGTTGTTGTTACGTTTTTGACTTCGTCGCATGCCTACAGCACCTCGCACTGCCGGAATGCGCGTGTCTTCGGGTATAAAGAACCGTTCTTCAGAGACGGCGTGGCCTCCACGTCCGGAATTAGTCGCAATGTCACCAGTGATGACACTCTCTGTGGGCCAGGTTTTAAAGAAGCAGCAACCTTTGTAGCCAACACCAAACTCGTGCGACATTAGAGCCCGAAAATTCTCCGCCATGCGAGGTGCCACATCATTGCACACCTTGATAAGTATTCGACCTCCGTATAGTCCAACGATTTCCGTCTCCAAAAAATATATAGGATAGTTAGATAGCATTTGGTTGACGTGCAGGACTGTAACTGCAACATAACGTAACGGCTGTACTTGCTTGAGCAGCGCTGCAGCAGCAAATATATTTATGGCTATAACTTCTTGTTATATCGGTCTATCATATATCTATAATAACTAACTGGGGGCATTTGCAAAATTCGAAGAAATACGGGAGTTAGAGAAAATCGCATTTGCGGGGGAGAGGGAGGGAAATTCCAAAATATACATTTTCTGCGTATTCACACAAGGCATCTTGGACTAAAATTTGGTGTTCCTAGGTCTTATAGTCTCTGAGATATAGGCGATTATACGAATGGAAAATCGGGAAAACCCCCATAGGGGGAATTGGGGGGAAAATCAAAAAAATAAAACAAATTCGTATAGAATACACACATAAAGCATAATTGTGGAAAATTTGGTGTCTCTATCTCTTATAGTCTCTGAGATCCAGATGTTCACACGGACGGACAGACGGACAGACAGACAGACAGGGCTAGATCGACTCGTCTCGTCATGCTGATCAAGAATATATATACTTTGTGGGGTCTGCCACGCCTCCTTCTGCCTGTTACATTTTTCAGCTCCCGCAAACCTAATATACTTCTGTACATTTCATGTATGTATGTATGCTTTAGGTCTATTGTATTTTACATCGACTGCACTGTTTGTCGATGGAAATAAATAAATAAAATAAAATAATCAACTGAGTCAAAATAAGAAAACCAATCCAAAAACTAAAGGGATAATGTGTCGTATTTAAGTGTCTATTATTATAATAAAATATTGTATGGTAAAGGTAATAATAATGTAATAATGCAATTAGGTGTGTAGAAAGCTTAAAATGTTTGATAAGAAAAATAAATGTCACAATTTTAAATTTCGGATTTGGAAAATTAAGGAATTTCATTGGACTCCATAGACAATCCAGGAGCAATGATAAGCAGTATCAACACAAAGCAAAATTGTTTGTTGAGTGGTGCAATAAACAAGCACAGACATTTCTATAATCCATTTAATTCATAAAATCATAACTATAAGTGTCTATATATGTATCAGAATGTTTTAATAAATGTTGTGTAAAGCCCCCATTATTATATTACGTTATTAAGCACTCACCTTGTAAAAAACATCCGGAACGTATTGTTTATCGGTTGACTCGCGCACGTAGCCTAATTCGGGTGCATCCTTGGTTGGTATTAAACAGTTGTCCCGCACCAGGGCCATGCATTGAGCGGACACAGCATAGCCCTCCATGTGAACCTGTTTAGTTTGGTCTCCTAAAGACACAAGCGAAGTGTTCCCATACATACTTGTACAGTTTAAATGCCATAATTCGGACTTACCCGTTACACAAATTGTGACGAACTTTGAGCCGAACACACCATTTGTGGCATATTTACATGGATTTGGATGACGATTTTGAAGTTCTCCAGCAGTTATGCACTCCTGAGCGGTCAGGAAGTGCGTCTCGATGCCGCGCAACTGTTTTACAGTGCCACTGGTGGCATCCTCAGTTATTAGATCAGTGAATATCCAACCGATCTAAAGCCCAGAACAATGCATTAATCAATTTTAGAGATTACAAATAAATAAATTCACCTTTTTCAGACCCAACGCACTAGCAACGGCGTCGACATCATCGGCACCCTCATCCGAATACACGCTAATAGAATCACGCGTGGATTCCTGTGGCGGTTCATAGATAGCAGCCACTTTGGCGCGTATGCCCAATGGCACATCAGTGTGTTGCTCATATGTTCCATATAAATAGCCCATGCGTTGATGGCCCGTTGTGCGCCAGTAGTTTAGAAAGCGTTCGACAATTTTAGTGTTTTCGAACATGACATTGTCCACATGCCGATAAGTTTGACGATTTAACGTGATGGCCGATGGCTGGCACTTGGAGCATATGCCCTTGGGCCATGGTGGATGCTCACGACAGCCGGGCTTAATACGGCAATTGATGTCGTCGAAAACAAAGTATTTGCCTTGATCCATGCCGGACGTTTGCTTACGTATGTATGAATGAAATGACAAGTGCTTGATGTTGTGCTCCTTCAAATAGTTTTCGTCGTATGGTTCCAGCGGTGAGCAGTGGACACAACGTCCATTCGCATTGTGATGACAGCTGGGAATACATGTAAAATGATTTATAAAATTTATTATGTTCATGTAAGCGGAGGGTTTCGCTTACAGTTTACTATCGCGCACGCGCTTTATTGTGCCGTCTGCCTTGACCAATTGCTGGTCAACATTATCTTCGACCACATCTATGGAGGGACGTGCGCTGCTGTTATTGCTGCTTTTTTCGCTAACTGTTGCTGCCGAAAGATTGTTAAAAGCAGCGAAACTGTCAAAGGCCGCGATGCTAGTACGCTGTTGGCAAGCGAGAACAATTAAGCTTAGCACTTTAGCATATAGTTGCTGTTTACTTACACGAGATGAGCTTCCGGCCATTTGTTTCAGATATATCATGTCGCCATGCTTAAGCGTTGCACCCACCAACTGTGAGCCGCTGGCTTGTAGCTGCAATGAGGGGATAGACTTCAGTTATAAAGAAATAAATATGGGTAAGTAAGACATGTACCTCTGTGGCGAAACTGCGCTCCTTAAAGAGCCCGAAGCCATCGACCTTAAGCGCATTTTGCACGGTTTCGTATAATTGTTTTAGGTTGGACTTTGGCGAGATCTCGATACGTTTAATGCCCTCCGGAGACTGGACACGTACAAGCTGTAATTGGTAGAAACAAAGATAAGAAGTTGTTCCTTTCTCTTCAATCAGAAAGTGGCCCTGAATGCGCCCACCGATTGTTTGCATAACACAAACAGACGATGGCGCACAAAGGCGTAGACAAAATTTCTCTTTTTGTAGATCAGGCTCTGCAGACAAAGTGGAGCGCTAGCCATATCGTTTTTTGAGGTTGCTAATGTTGTTGCTGCCTGCTGATGGTGATATATGTAAGTGGACGTAGCTTAAAAAGCTACTCCTTATGGCCTATAAAGGCTTAATTTAGCGTATCGAACTGTACACCATGCAGCCGCGCATTTGACTGTCAGAAGAACAGGAAGACGCCAATGAACACACTGCCATGCCAAGGGGGAATGTACGTACATTTTTGGCAAAATACACCAAAATGTATACCAATGAATGCCAATTGAGAGTACGTTACAGAAAACTAAGAGACGAAAATGCGGGGTGGTGCATGAGAGGTGGCGATGGCACGAGCCTGTCACTTAGATGCAGATATAGTAAAATGCACCAAAGGCAACAAATTATAATTTGCAATCGGCATTCTAATCAAGAAAGTTTTACACCGATTGGCTGAAACGTTTTTCTTGGGGCTTCAAAATCTACAAGTCATTGTGCGTTTTCTATCGCTCAACGTTCGAGCTCGCAACTGAGACTTTCGCCCATGGACAGACATGTTGGCCCAGAACTAATAAATTGGACAAACTGCAGCACTTACCTGCATATTGGGAACAATACTCTAGATAAATACACTATAAACAATGTACATACATATGTAAGTATATACCAAAAACAAAACAGTTTTCTCCCAGCAACAGCAGCAACAACAACACAGCAGTTTGCCGGTGACTTAGATTTGACACAAGCCCACGGAGTAAAATAGAATGGCGTGCCACACACTCGATAGCAATATGACTTTTTTACATATCAAAAGATGCCCAATAACTTAATATGTTTGTCTTAATTATAACTTACTATTTTTTCGGTCATTGTGGAAAATAATGGACAAGGACTAGGGTTGCTATCGTATCGTACGCTATAACTATGAATTTGGTATTTTTTTAATGCATTTCTCGGCTACACTACTCGGCAAGTATCGCACAGAGGCGACCATATGATTTCGATACTAAATCGATGCATAGTGATGCCAGATCGCGGCAAGTGTATAGAAGTAAGAAAAACCACTTAGCGAAGAATTGAACCCACTTAGCATAAGCCCGCGTGAATACTTTTATTTAACTAATAATAATAGATCATATATGGGCATTCTATGGGTTTTACGCATAATTGTTTCAATAATAAGCTATTTATCTTCGTCTAAACAGAAATATAGTCCATTCCATAAATGCGCCGTGATGGTTGATTAAATTAAATTTAGAAATAATATTATAAATCTTATACGAGTGCATGCGCATATTTCCTCATTTATTTTTAATTACAAATGACCACCTAATAAACAAAAAGTTTCTCTTCGCTGTATAAAATAATTGAAGCATCCCTAGGAATTGCCATTGCTTAAAATAGTTTTTGTGACTCTTATAATTATAGCTTAGCTTTGATACAATATCTAATTTAAGATAAAGCAAAGTCAAAAATAAGCACACAATAACTACAGTGTGAGGCTTCAACATTAGTAAAGAACACTCATTTGGCGCTGCCGCTTTAACTGGCCACCCTCATTTGCTCAGTTGACATTCTGAACGGTGCACAAGGTCAAATGGCATTTATGCCTTATTATTTATGTGCAGGCCAATGTTGCGCTTTTTGCGCTTTTTCCGTGTCTGTCCTTAATGCTCGACTGTCCCCGACAGCCGCACAATCAGGGGATGCTGTGGTCGCTGCTCTCGAGAAATGTTTTCCAAGCCGCTGCTCTTGATAGGCAATTGATAACAAGACAAAAGAGTAGCCGAAGGAAAAAGGATGGCGGGGAGGCAACCAGGGAGAAATTGACAAAAAGCCGCGTTTCAATTCAAATGGGTTTGCCTTGAAATCAAGATGATGCACTTACTACTATATCAGGAAGCAAACGTCGGCCGTTTTAATTTAATTAGACTACGCTGCATTTGTGCAGACACCAAATAGAGTGAATGTCGCCAATATAATTCAAATGGGGTGGCATAAATATCAATTGAACGATTCGCAACATACAGCGTTCCATTTACATTTCAGTTATAGGTGCTATTTTTGACAGCGAAAGTGGGTCAAAAAGTGCTGAAGCTACCAATCAATGTGCGCACGCCATTTAAACCTTAATTAAAATGGTAAAAATAATTCATTAGCTCTGGAAACGAGCTGGCCAACATTGTTGGAAAGCACGTGAAGAAAGAACCTCAATAGGTCGCGGGCCAAAGCCCAATATTAGATGGGTCAAAGGTGCTGCACGCAGGTCACAGTCAAATGTGACTAATTTATGTCAGCCGCTCAGGCCACACAAATTCGCAGGACAATAAAGATAAGAACGATATACTGTGGCAAAAACTGAATGAGGCGGCAATGCATGGCGGGGCAGGAAAAGCGCTGATATCTCATTGTCATTATGAAGTGCTGCCTACTTTTCAGCGCATGCGTCAGTTATGGCGCTAAAGCGTCTGTGGCGGCTCCCTTGGCTGCTGCTGCTTTGGCACATGCAACACGATGCTGACTGCCACACTCTGTTTGTACACAATGCGAGGCTTCTCAGCCAGCAGCTGACTATTTCGAATTTCGAAAAATGTTATCAACAATCGCACGCCGCCGCTGTCATCCGTCCGGTGCCTCTTTCAGATAAACCCATCAGTTGACGGCTGTTGCACGTCGCGTGCGGTTTTCAATTTTTTTGTGCTCGCACCTTGTTTGCTGTTTTGCCGCCTACAAGTGAGTTTCGCTGTCTTGGCCAAACATTCGAATGTTTACTGGCAATTGCCGCAAACCGTGTCATTTACAAGTCGCAGCTCGTGGCGTGCAGTTCTTCTCTTTTCCGGCGCTCAGCGGGTGCCATTTCAGAAATAAACATAGTGGCATTGAACAAGGAAGCAAGAAAACCCCATAACTACTTTACAATTAAAGTCGAAAAATAACTGTTAACGTAATTGTGAGAATTTATTAAATCTTACACCTAATCTAATGCATTGCATTTTAAGCTGAAACATTTTTTAAGCTTGATACATGCGGACATATGTATAATACAAAAGCCTAGTGAAATAATGTTTTAGAATCATGTGTCAGCTGATTTATTTAAGGAAACAAGTAAAAGCTTTTCATTATATGATGCCAATGTTACGTTCTAAGTTTTACTGTAAGTTTTATTTTCAGTTCATCATTTCCAATTCATTGTACTTAGAAATTCGAGGAGTTCTTGAATTAGGTTTTATTATTTATTTAATATTGAAAATAAGAGAATTGAAGAAAAATTGAGATAATTAAGGCATCAATAGTGATTATAAGATTTTAAAAAGCCAATGTGTTGCAATGAGTTCTTCTACTGGCAGATGTCAGCGTAGAAAGCATACTACAAAGCCCAAATGCATATGGAACAAAAATCGTGCCTTTCTTATAAAAATAAAAAGGATTACTTGTAATTATTACGATAAACTAATTGGCTTCTAATTTGAAAACCTCCCTCTCTCTTTTGATTTTGAGGAATTTTGAATATTATATGCGTACCGCCATAAATCTAATTGAGGATGCAAAGTCAGCGCATAAACTTCAAAACAAAGTACACAAAATAATGCTCACGATTTGAATTCACAAAGCCCAAAGCCATTTTATGGTGGGGCTTTATGCCAAATCATTTAAATGAGTAATTAATTGAGAACTGCCATCCAGTGGGTTCAGTAGACAGCAACCTGCTTCATTGGAATTCATTAAAGCCAGTTTCAAGATTAACGCCCAATAGAATTGCTAAAGGGCTTGAGGCAGGCATTAATTTTTCACGCAATTTAATTGAAGTAAGTTTCGATTTATGGTTGCCTTACAATCTAAACGAGGCATTAAACAGAGAATAAAATCAAAATTTTGGGGCAGCGAAAAAATGTGTACTCGTGTATATGGGAATTGAGTGGAGAAGCTGTGATTTCGCCGTGGTAATGAACTTTGGCACACACACTCCTATACATGAACACACACCCCTGATGGCGGCTGACTAATTTGCTGTCACGCCTGAAAATTATAACGAAGCGCACGTCCGCATAATGCAAGCATGAGAATCGAGAAAGAAAATGAACACAAAGTGAAATCAAATAAAACGAAATAAAATGAAATGAAATTATATGGCGAATCGTGGGCGGTTTTGGGACACAGCGAAAGGGTCCTTCTTGCTTTGAATGCATGTATGTACTTAAGCGGTACATATATGTATAGTATATAAATACTCGTATATATTCGTAGCTTTCGGCAACTGATTCTTATACCCGAACATATGTGCGCACATAAATAAAATGTAAATACGTGAAAAATTAAATGAAATTTCAGAAATAAAATAATCACAAGCTCATGAGCCTCACCGGACGAACATCCGTGAAATATAAATTTTGTGCGAAATGAAATTAAAAAGCGTGCAGCATTAAATATTAAATATTACAGTTTAAGCTGACAGCCAAGAGAATTCACGTCTCCCACCTTACCACTGAACGAGTACCTGAGCAAGAGCACCTGACGCTTAAAGTACCTTAAACACTTTAAACACTGTACACCTGCCATAAGAGCGTTTGCAGCTAGCAGGAACCGTCGACAGTGCACTGAATATAACGGTAAGTATATCTGACATTTTACCCCTTTAGGCCTTTGGGTAGCTTGTAAAGTCGTATAAAAGAAAACAAATGTGATATGATGGCGACATACGCTCGCGAATTTATGCGGCCCGATTGTTTAACAAGCTATTGACTCGAGAAAATACTTACACTTATTGGCCACATAAAACGCGACATAAAAGCTTCAAATATCCGTTACGAAAATGACCCTTGGCATTGTAAAAATCACATTTGCCTTTTTGCTTTTACCGCGCGTTACGCATACGACATGTTGCAATGGCAGCTGCTTCTCGTCTGGCCCATGGCCGGCTGATCCTAATAATAAGCAAAACAAGCCAAAAAAAAAAACAAGACAAGGCAACATAAAATAATCAAATCTGGGTTCCCCAAGGAATTCCCCTATTTCAAAAAACGCAATAAACAAAACTCGTCGAAGTCATCACACATTGCTTTGAGTGTCTTTGTGAGCTCAGCTCAGTTATAGTATTGTATATACGTATACGAATCGTCTGTTGCATGCCTCGAAAATTCTATTAAATGATAAGCACCGAAGTT